GCAGACTTTTTATCAGTGTAAAAATTTACAACATTGACATATCCTTCTGCACACTGAACATTAACTTAATTACTAACCATAATATAATCTTTGCAGATTAATGCTCCATTTCGTTCTTTAACAATCAGTAACATTTCTTCAAATAGAAACAGTTGACGATTTGTTTTTGCTCCAGCTAACTTGAAAGTTGCTTCTAGAAGTAAGTCTCCATATTTGGATAAATCCTCCTTTTCATCAATACACCATTTGTGAAGAGCATTTTGAAGTTCACGTACTCGTTCTACGTGTTCTGCACGTTTCTTTTCATCATTAATTTTTTCCGCTTGTGCAGTCATGCAGTGAAGAGCTTGTATTATTATGTTTCGATCACTTTCTGTCATAATTTTTGTCTCTGCGCAACTTTTTAAAATATTCTGCAAGTTTAACTCTAAATTATTAAAGTCTATCCAACTGTGCATAATAAATTATGAGATATTTTTGTTTTCATAACTAATAACTGTGTTTTACATCTCTGAAAATAATGTTTGAAAGGAAATTATTTTGAATACAATTAGTAACTAATAATATAAGCAAAAATTACTAATTACTCTGCGTAACTTTCACGTATTTTCTTACGATTAAGCAAAGCTTAATATGATTCACCAAAAACTGTACAATAATTTAGCTAATATGAATTATTACGAGTTTAAAATTAGCACAGATAAATAGATAAAGAATTACTTCAAGAAAAAGATGATATTTAAGTACTCGTTGGACAGGTTTCAGTAAATACGCACTGAGAGGCAGAGAATGGCCGAGAAAAGCTTGACGAAGTTTCAGAATCTCTGCTACTCGTTTTTTCTTCATTAAATTCGATAATGTTTCAATCATTCTAAATATTAATCTTTCTTTTTTCTTTGCTAATTAACAATAATAATTATGCATTAATTTAATACTAAAAACAAGCACATGTATTTTACTATTATTGATTAATAATTAGTTCTTTTTATTTTTAACACTTACTAAATACTTTTATCAACTTAAAAGCAAAAAAGCAAACATTTGGTATCTAGTACAATATGTGACGTAGTCATTGAATCCTTGTACGTTGTCTGATAAACACTTCGCCATCTGTAACAAACTTCAAACGTTAATTTTTACCTTATTCCTTTTGAATAATTAATCTTTGCTATATAATTATTTGATTTCATTATTTAAAGTATACAATATCCTTAATATTTATGCTTGTTTTTTGGTCAAAAACATAATATATTCTACAGATTGCAACTGCAAACTAAAGAAAATGCAAGCCGGTAGAAGTTTAAACTATTAGTGGAGCCAAAGTTGAAAGGTCATTATCTATCAACTTGTAATATATTTATTGTAGGTCTAGATATATTAAGAGTTAAAACGGTGATGGATCAAGAAATATGCGCCTCAGGTGTAAATCTATTGTACACCACTACATGTCATCATACTGTATAAGACCGCCCTAGTCGCATTGTCATCATCAGCACATATATATTTTCGACTTTACTCCTCAAGGTAGATCTGAACTAGCATGGCTTAACTACTAATTGTTCATCTCTATACCACTTGTCAATCAATGCATCAACACTACTAAGCTGCAAAATGAGTTTAAAAATGTGTTAAACAAATTTAAAAATAAAATTAAAATAATAGTAAAATTCCAAAGTAAATACTGGAAGTAATAATTTAAACTTAAAAGTAATTTCAGGCATAAAATATTCTTATTTCGGTAGAATCGCAAGAAAAAAAAAACTGACGCATACGACGTTAAGCTGTGCGGCGTCTAATTCGTGATAAAGCTTTTTATTGAAGAAGAAAATCCGCTCAATGCAACCAAAAGTATTAGAAATATCGTCGACGGTCACTTCAAACTCTTCTCGATGATCCACGAGATAATTTAAATATCCCTCAAAGCAATTAATCAATTAGTGTTTAAAAATTTAAGCATTTAATTCTTACTGTATTGCAATTTTTGATTGATATTTAAAGAAGACATAAAATAAAAAATCACTTATTCATATTTCAATTTTATTTTAGATTCTGTGAGTGACTGTCAGACATAGCATAAAATATACTTAAAATAATATCTTTAACGAATTTCATTACTTGATTTATGAATAATTAATTCTATAATCTAAACAACGCTGCTTGCATATTTTATTTATTAATAGTATTAAAAAGATTTTATTGATTTTGAAGAAATATTTTGAACAAATTTAATAATAATAATAATGATAATAAGCTTATAAATGGGTTTTAATTAAGCTAAAAAATCTAATCACCTGAATAACGTCATTGAGATCATTTACATAGCAACGTTCTGTTTCTAATAATTCCATAGCAATTCGATCAAGTTGTGTTACTAAACCATTATTTAATAACTTCAGACGACGTTGCTCTGATATCGATGATTCTTGCCTAAAATATTAAATAAAGCTTTTTGTTTAATTAAAATGATCTGAACTTATTGGTAAAATTCTGGCTGATCTGAACTTATTGATAAATTTGATAAGTATGCAAAAAAGGTTTATGAATTTCTGACAAAAAAATGATAAAAAATTTTACAAATTATAAAAATTAAAATTTATTTGAGATTTTTCAAAAAAAAATTCTTTGTGTTGACTATATTTAGCAAATTATCGATCATTGATTGATAAGATTTATCAAACTAACAATTGTAAAAAATAAAAACCAACGTTAGCAGCTTTTTTGCAGATGGGAGATTCATCAGATTACTGCTAGTATCATCGCTTATTTCTGAACTTCTTAAGCTACTTCGAGCTGAGCTGTATCCTGTGGATGAACTTACAAAACTATATCGTTGTACTGCTTCCTACAAAAATTTGCATATTTCATACCTTCAACTAGTCATACAAATGGAAAATCGTTATTTGATTTTAAAAACATTTTGCTTATCCCTATTTGCACACATTCATATATAAGAACTTAGCGTTAAGCATTTATTTTGCATTATTACAAAACTGTAAAATTCGCTTATTAGTTTGGCTAATTAAGTTATTTTAACAACTTTATGCCTCAATCACATTTTTTCTACAACAAAAAAAAATTTACAAGAAACAGCTTCTTGTAATCAAATATACTTACAGAATCATCATCCGTCCCTAAATTGGGATCGTTCTTATTTACATGATTATTAAAGATTGAAGCAGAATTCGAATTCTGAAACTTTCGAGGATTTTCCAAAGCTGTTGTCATTTTTTGAAGAACGCTTGCACTGCTTCTTCGTCGAGTTTCTACAGCAGATAGATTCTGATGCAATGCTAGCTTCTGAGAGTAATTATTTGTTTCCAATCCTCTATAATTAAGTAGTGATAAATCTAATGAGTAAATCTAATGAGAAAACATTATAAATAAATTAAAACTTGCAATCTTGTGAATAATAAAATATACGTAAATAGTAGAAACTCTCGCACTTTTAACTGAATTAATAAAAAAAATATTTTTTAAAATTCAGTTAAAAATTTTTATTTTTGGAATCATCAATTCGTCTTGAATGTATTATAATTTATGACACTTTTTCCAAAAAAGTTTCTTTGAATGTATTTTTATTATTTTATTATTTCTCTAAATAGTAAAAAAAAATCTTCTAAACTATTTTAAGAAAAAAGCATAATTTAAAAAGTAAAAAAAATTTCCCCAAATATAATTTTAAAAATTACGCCAAACTAACTTCTCAAAATTAAACATTGATACTAATGAAATATATTTTTATGAAAATAATTCATGAAATAATATACTTTTTAAAATTTTTAAAATTTCATGACATGAATAAATTTGCTAAAAGTAAATAATGAAAGCTGAAAAACTAATTTTCGTAGAATGTTATTTATTTTGAATACTGAAAATTTCTAACAAAAATTTGCAAAACCAAATATTACTAAAACTGATAATGCTTTGAAAGTTTCAAATGGTAAAAAAAATTTTTTAAAAATTCAAATTTATCAAAATATTTGCTAGAAAATCAAATTTTCACATATGCAAACATTAAATTCTCTCATTGTTTCAATCTCGAATTTTTCATTTTTTCATGCCTTTAATGCTGTTTTCCAGAATTTTAAAAGTTATTAATTTTCAATAGATTATTTTTACAAAAAAGCGGAATTTATTAACAAGTGATGTGCTGTGTTATGGATTTATAAATGAGGGCAAAAAGTCTTTACAAACAAATGCATACAATTTTTTGGAGGCAAAAAAATTGTTGAATTGACAAATATCAAATTTACGGTCTCTTACAGTTAGAGATTCTAGAATTAGATTAAGTTCTCGCCATCAAAATGCTATATTTTTACAGTTATTTTCCATTCAATACATTTTTATATTTTTAAGTAACATAAAATTAAAATTCAACAAAATTTAGAGAGCTTAATCTAATAACCGGAAAGCTTAAATGTCAAATTTATTTGACAATTAATCAAAATTACAGTAAATAATGAATTAACAGATTGCAAATAAACTTTTGTATATTCTTGTTGCACTGTTTGTCTTCTTTTTTTTGTAAAATTTAAAAATTTTAAACTTTTTGATGCCAAAATATTTGTGTTTGTTCTTTAAATTTTTTTATTCTTAAGTTTAGTAACTAAAATTTGTACAAAAAGAATATGTAAAAAAATTTTGAGAAAAAAAATAAAAATAAAACTGAAAAGCAAAATTCTTGAAAACTGATTCAAAAAATATTTGTGTATGCATTTTTATCAGTCAAAATATCACACAAAAAGCTTTTAACTTAAAAGCAGAGCTGCCAATTTTAATAATTGTATATTTTACACAATAATAATGAATGCAAAAACTTTTGGTTTTGCTTAAAAAGGTTAAACTTAAAAAGGTCAAAAAGGTTAAACACAGTTAAAAATTCGTAATTTGATTGAAAGCAATTTAAAAATTAACAAAAAAGATCACTGAAATTTGCGAATTATTCAATATTTTTTTAAAAAAGTTTGCAAAAGCATGAAAAAAATTAAAAGTTTAGAAAAACTATTATTTCTTTTTTACAAAATTATTTTTTTAATTGACAATTTATTCTAATTAAAATACTATGCAACGTCAGAAAATAACCAGTATGCTTACAAATATATAACTGATCAGTTTATATTATTCTATTAAATACTGGATCCAAAGTCTTGCAATATGCGTAAACTGAATTGCCGTATTGTATAAATTATGATAATTAAGTAAATTAATTCTGATTTAAATTGTGCAACCATTCATGGACAGTAACAAAAATCAAAGATGAATCAGTTATTTACAGTTACTTTCACGCTAATACTTATAGATGAAAAATTTTTCTGCCGTCAGATAGTCATCAAATGTATATTTATAGTATGTGAGTTACTTTTTGATAACAAAATATGGAAATAAATTTACAGAAGATAGAATCTTAGTTCTGTAGATTCATAAATGATACCCAAAATTATTCCAACATTAAGATAAATGTACGAAAATAAACAATAACAATCATTTGAAACTGTTCAAAAGAATATAGAAAATAGCTAATTTTTCAAATTATGCAATTTTTTAATTTTTAATTTTTTTAAAGTGCGTAAAAAATTGATAGGTTCATACTTTAGCCTTTAATTTAAAGATTCTTTCATATTTACTCATTCTATATTTGTTTTATTGTATAAACTGGGATTATTAAGTGACTTAATTATGGATATAGTCTATTTGCACCGTATTTGCACCGTCATATTTGCACCGTCAATGGATATATCTGCACCATCAATGAAATAATTTAACTTATAAGTAACAAAATTTTAAAAGATTGTACTTACTCAGTCATTTACAGTTAATTCCAAGTTTATAATTATGGATACAAAGGTGTTTGATCCCTTATCTAAGTACAATTACAGAAGTAACTACAGAAATACAATTGTAGGGAGAAGTATTACGCTTTAAGAATTTATAAGAACCCAATGCTCACCGCTAATTACCAATTCATAGTTTCAAGATTATTTATGCATTAGCAATTATCATTTTTTGTCTATTTAAATATCATTTACTTAAATTTTAAAAGTAATTAAGTTAAAAAAATAGACATAAGAATTAAAGGTTACAAAGGTTTCCGAAAACAAATATTCAAAGAGGTGAATAGACTGTAAGCAGAAATTAAGAATTCAAGGAATTGAATACGAGACAATAATTGGATTCAAATTTATTAAGAGATCTGAATTCGAATAAAATTATAGTATACTATAACAATACTTCCAAGAATTCCATATAGTCGTTTTTTCCGTGGAATTCAGCTAGAATCTGAGGTTTTGAATTTAGATTGTACCAAGCAATTAATTTAAAATTAAATCTGCCAGATTAAAACTTATTGAAAAGTATGCTTTCAATAAAACTAAAAACTGTTTCAATGAAAACTCGTTTGAATTCTTATCAAAACAATTAGTTTGCATAGTTTTTCTCATTTTGAGAGCATTGATGTCAATAAGGATTCGGAAAGTGTTTCGAGGAATCTGCTTGCCTACCTTTTACCTTTCAACTATGTCATGAATCTTCGCGAATTAAATGGCATCGGTAGAAATGAGCTATCGGAGAAAAAATGTACACCAAAATGGGGTAATCATCGAGACAAGACTAATAATGGGTAAATAAACAATTTTTATCACACACAAATTGACTATTATTCTATTTTTCAATTTTTTACTTCATTTATATATATTAAAAATCATATTCATCATCATAACATACTAATAATATTAATAATAGTAATGATATTTATAATAATATTAATATTAATAACAATGATGATTACTATTATTTATCATTACAATAATTAATCAGTGTCAGTTAGTTGCAATAATCATAAACAATAATTTTAAAAGTGTAAATAATTGTTAGATCGTATCAGTAAAAATCCCAAAAACGCGTGTTATTATAACATGCAAATAAACTAAATGTGAGATATTGAATAGAACTTTCAAAAAATTAGAAAATTTGAATAAAATTAAATTTTTTTAAATTGCGAAAATATATTCATAACATTGCTAATTTTCAAAACAAATTAGTAATTTGCTAATTTGGTAAATTATTTTTGCACAAATATACTGAATAGAAATAGAATTGCAGTAGAAATGAAAACGAAGAATACTCGAAAATTGCTTTTCTTTTTTGATAGGCAAAAAATGGAACAATATTTTGAAAGAAATTAGCTGAAATTTTTTTTAAAATTAAAAATAGAACCAAATTTACATAATTAAATATTTTGCATTGATCAAACATCAGTCAACAAGATAAAAGGTCAAATTAAAGAAATTTATAAAGGTCATAACTCAGAAATAACAATTACAACTGAAGATAACTACTAAACCAATATGTTTTAGTTTAGACCATTAGGTCGAAAATGCTAATTGCATTGATGTATTTTGCTTTAAATAATTCATTACCACTAATTCAATCAAATTTAAATCTAATTTGGTAATTTGGTAATAGATGAACAAATTTACAATCAATTTTTATCATTTTACTCATTTTTGCATCTGCTATATTTATTGATTACCATTCAAAATTTTTTTTTCTCAGATCGAGAGTAGTTAGATCAAGATTAACTTTAAGCTATCGTTTGAAATGATTTCAGTATGATTTATTCCAATATTTGAAATCAGTAATAAAATATTGTAAAGTAACTCGTTGGAATCACATAATTTTAGATTAAACTTTTAAAAGTGATATACGACAACTTTCAAATTGTTCACAAAAATCCGGCATTTAATTCAAATTTTATCAAAATTTAAGAGTTTATAAGGCAATATGGTCTTTTGGCTTATGGAAATAACAATAATTCCACTAATTGTTGTTATCGAAATTGTTTCT